ACCCAAAATAGATAGAAGAGTTATGCAGACACTCGAATGATGGATTTGAATTTAAGAAAGGCGATCGAGTGTTCCTTAAAGTCACCCCCCTTAAAGGCGTCACCAGGTTTGGAAAGAGAAAGAAATTAAATCCTTGATTCGTCGGATCATTTGAGATTTTGGACAGAATTGGAACATCCACCTACAGACTAACACTGCCTCTAGAACTATCCAGAATCCATAAGGTCTTTCATGTGTCGATGCTACGCAAGTATAACTCTAACCCTTCACATATTTTATCTTACAAGCCACTTCCATTTCATGAGGATTTATCTTATGAGTATGTACTTGTTAACATTTTGGACTGACAGAATAGGGTGCTTTACAATAGAGAAACTCTCTTTATCAAGGTTCTATGGCAAAATCATTCGCAAGACGAGGTCACCTAGGAGTTGGAATAAGACTTTAGGGCTAGGTATCCTCGATTGTTTGATTAGGGAGCAACAATTTGAGGGATTAAATTTTCTTAACGAAGAGAGTTGTAACCACCTGAGCCCAAGAATTAGGCTTGGAATGGTGAATTTTAATATTTTTTCTAATAATAAAAATTCATGGATTTTAATTTTAATTATGTTTATTGTTTTATTTTTAGAAATATGCATTTTGAGTGTTTTTGAAACAATTTTTAGAAGCCAGGGTCAAACTATAAATAAAGGGGGTATGTTTGAAAGAAAAATTTAAAAATAGGAGGTTAAATCACAAAAAAAAGAAAGTAAGGGCCACGTGTACGCCCAGTTAGTGGCACGATGAATCACTACGCGCCATGTGGTGGACACACCGACACAGGTTCCACACAGAAAGCCACACGGGCAATCCAGGTGCCAGACCGACCGAACGGCCCGGGGTCACTCCTACACGCACAAACGGCCAAGATCAATTCCCCGAATAAGCCTGACCGAACAGTCCACATGTTTTCAATTGAACGATCTGGATTTATTTTCTAAATAAGCGAGATCTAATGGCTGAGGTTAATCTACGCAAGCCTGGATGGGTTGCCCAAATCGAAGGGAGGTGTATTTAAGCATCTCTTCGACCAAACCCCAAAACCCTAGCCAACATACCTCATCGAAGAATAAGAAGAAGGGCAGCCAGAAAGAGACTTACCCACCGGAGGAACGCCGACGCCACCATGCCGGATCGCAAAAAACACTCTGATAGGTCGAAAATTCTTCTTGTTCTTCCCATTTCTCTACGCTTAACTGTCTAACGTATTTTTGATGCAGGATAACTGAGTAAAACCACAAACCACAAGGAAATAACAACAAAGCTCGACTGAGCCACCGTACTGGAGGACTGAAACCATTGGTAAACATCTATTTTTCCCCTCCTCTTGCCGAGAAACACCACCTAACCATGATTTAAAAAAAAAAAATCATCAAGGGCCAGCCAAAATCGATCTGACTGAGAGGAAGAGCCGCCGAAGAAGGCGGACCAAGCAGCGGAACATGGTGGCGCTGCCGTGCCAGAACCCCAACCCGACCTCCCAATGAGATTTTTGCCTTTTTTGCCATTTCTTGCATATTTTTATGTTATTTTGACATACAGTCAATCTTATCAAGAAAATCTAATAAATTCAAGATTCAAAATTTGTCAGGAATCGAGTGAAAAAAGACGGTGTTTTGGATATTGACCAATGAGTAAGAATCTCTCACCCATTTTCCCTATTGCGGTGAAATTGAAGCTAAAATTAATACTAAAAAAAATATTAGATAATTAGAAATTCGTTAATTAATTAAGTAGAGGTTGTTGATGGATCTAGTAATCGGTCAGTCCATGTTTGCTTAATTTTGTCGATTATTTATTCGGTCGCTTTATTGTGTTTACTTATTTATTTTGTTCTATTTTAACCTACTTCAATTTATTTGCCTTAATCTATGTTTTCCATTGTTCTATTTTGCATATAATACGTTTCGGTCAGTATGTTGTATATTTATTTATTTTATTCACATATCCTGAAATATGAATTTCATACTCTTGTCTTGCATGGGTATGTGGGTATACGTGTCATTTTGGGTTAAATAGTAATGAAAGAAATAATATGCGTGAACTAATGTGTTTTGATGAAAATTGCTTACCGGGTATCATGAGTAAGAGTGTACGGATTTTATGCATAGGGTGAATCCTATTGTGGAGGTTACCTTCAGCTGTACGAGGCTGGAAAGTCCCATATCAGAAGGGTTGGGAGTTTATAAGTGTCGCTCTTATTAGACAAGGTATTGAGATGGTTGTTTGTTGTTGCACCCATTGTCGGATGGGGTATGGAGACGATCATTTTATTAGAAAATAAATGTTCATATCCACGTGTAGTGGGGATCCCTACGGACCCTCAACGACATCAGTAGAAAAAAGGTAAAATGATAGTGTAGAGATGAACATGGTAAGAAATCTAGCTTGGGAAATGTGAGGAGTCAAACGTGTATGCTTATCGAAATGTATACTATTAAATTGTAATTTTGATTTTTTTTTATTTTAATGAATGATATTTGAGAGATTACATGTTAGTTGATAAAATATTAAGGTTTTCAGTGAAATAACATTCGGGTTTTATTAAAAATGAGTTTCATTTGTTGTTTTATATTTTCTACAACCATTTGATTTTTCGTATCAATGGTAAGATGTTGATATTCTTACTAAGCTAGCATAGCTCACTCTTTTTTATTAATCATTTCAGATCATGACGACCAAGACCCGAATCCTAAACAGCGAGAGACCCATTAAAGAATCACCTCTCTCGCTTTGTCAGTTTCTAATAGAGATTAACCATATTTGTTTTCTTTTTGTGTCTTTTTTTCGTTTAAATTTCAAAAGCATTCACATAGCCTTATTGGATATTTTAAGTAACATGTAAGGAATGTAACATAAAAATATTAATTGGTTCTATTATATAATAAATTTCAGTATTGTTTATCTTACTATTACGGAGTGATACGCTCTAAATTTCGGATAGAGATTTAAGTTTTTACAGTTATGTGCATCTATTATATAACAAACAGAATGCACATATTTTTATTAAAACGAATATTTATTCAACTGAGCAATTGAATAATAGGGGATATTATTATTACTTTATTAAGAAAAACTTTTGTAGGTCATAGAAAATTCAAATCGAATGATGTATGTGTCGCCAATGTCTCTAAAGTTTTTTAAATTTAGTTAGAAACAATTTTGATATGAGATTCACTTGCATTGGCGCACAATAACTTCCATATCTTATTTTTGTTCTTTATAAGAAACCAATTTATCTAAATATCCCTACAAAACATCACTTTTCTCAGGCTAAGATTATGATCCTACAAAATATACATCTTTCACCATAAAAAAATTATATATGTATATATATTGCAATGGAAATATTAAAGAACAAGTTCACATAAAACATTCTATTATCAACAAACATAAAACAAAGGACTTTTTTCTTTGTTTCTATCATTTGTTCTTTTTTCTTAAGCAAGTGCTCCCTTCCATTTAAAAAAAAAAATAAAAGAAAGATAAGATTTTTTATTTATATTCTCTATGATTGGGTAAAAATGACTCTAACTCTAACTCTAACTCTAACTCTACAAATCATATGAATAATTATGTGCGTGTTTAAATGGGCTATATTAGTTTTCACTTATGGAAAATACATATTTTTTGAATTATATCTAAAATAAGTTAAATATTTAAAAAGAATAACTTGTGGATTTAATAAATCAAATATTGTTTTGTTTTTACAGTTAATTGATTTTTCAGTAATACATAAATTATGGTTAGAATAAAAAAAATGTAACGACACTATACTAAGCTATACATACAATATTAGTTCATGCTTTAAACGTATTAATTTGAGAAAATTTGTGTTTAAATATAAAAAGAAAAACGAAGACGATTATATATTTTATATTATTTTAAATAAGTTAAAATTTGTATTTACAACATAAAAATTTATTTTAGAGACAAGAATAGGAGCATATTATTTGTTAATCCATCTAAACTAATTTTAAATAGAACAAATAAAAATTTATAATTATAGATTGAGTACGAATTTAATGATATATTCATTTCGTTTCCGTTTTATTAGTAAATTTTTTAGTTTTATTTATAATTATATTTAAATTAATTTAAATTTAATTAATGAATACTAATATTATGTATTTATGATATTATTTTGTATATTATTGAGTAGATTATGTTTAAATATCATCTTAAATTATATTTTATTTTGTTTAAAAGTTAAAATTTTTAATTATTTTATAAGGTTTTCTAAAATTAAAAAAAATAAATAAATATGATGGATAGATTAGATAAAAAATTTTATTCGTAAAGTAAGTTTCTTTTTTTTTTTTTTCTTATGAGTAGTGAATATGAAAATGAACATATCGGTTCTATGCTCATCTCTAATTTATATATTAAATATAATATAATATATGTTAATCTTGTACTAATTACAGAGTTAAAAATCAAATTTTTTTCGTAAATGCCAGAACGAAAGTCAGTTGGTTATGTACTCAATTCACATGATAACAATTATAATTTTATATGATGTGACATGCGAAGAGCTTAAGAATCTGTTAAACACACAATTAATGCTGAGACCGCACTCTCTGAGAATGTCTAGGTGACGTCGTTTTGAGTGACATAAAAAACCCACATCTCGTCACGCAAACAATTTTGACTGTGCGTTAACTCCGACTCACGTCATCATACACCAAAACAGTAAAAAGAGAGGGGAAAAAAGAAGTCGTGCGGGCCCCGTACTTCTCGAAGATCAGACGGCTCAGATGGTGCCACGTCAAAAGATCGAAGTCGACATGTACAAGGAAGGCCAATACACGCCGGTTAGCAACTGAAACAGGGAGGGTAGTTGCCCGGGGATTAAGGACAATAAAGTAATTTTACAGGGACCTGAGAAATTTATTGTTCGTACACGAGCAGAGAAACTTACTCTAATGTTATAAATTTTCGGTTTTCACGTTCGCAAAATAGATCCGAAAATTTTCCCAATATACCTCATCAACAGGGGGTGAAAAAAGGAAAAGAAAAAAAGAGGAAGAAGAAGAGAGAGGAATTTAATCGAATTCGAATATTTTCGAGATTTCACTTTTTGATTTTCCACAAAAACTTATCTCCTCTTCTTCCTCTTCACTAGATTCCCAGAAGAAAGAAAAGGGGAAACGTTTTTGTTTCTGCTGTTTATGTTTTTTTTTTTTTTCAGTTTTTTCAGTTTTGCTCTTCTCTGTCCTCGATCATTGTCTCATTCTCTGCTCAGAATCACACGCTTTTGTGTCTCTGGGCGATTTTCTACTGGGTTTTTATTTTGTTTTTCTGGGTTTGAGGGGGGTTTTCTCTGATTCGTGCTTGAAAATTCAGCAAATTGTGTCTGGGTTTTGATTTGTTTGTCAAGTAAAGTAATCGGGTTTACGAAATATCTGTGCCACCCATGCCAGATAATCGGCAGGTTCAGAGCAATGCTGTGTCCAATCAATCTACTGATAATATTGAAGGTAGTATTTTCTTTTTCCGTACTCTTGTTGTTGGATAGTACGAGAGAGATCTGATGATGGTTTGTTTTTGTGTAATGCGTTTGATGATATGGGGATGTTAGTCGCCGATCATGCCGCTAGGGTAGTTTTTATTGTGATCACTCTATCAATTTTTGTTTATTGTTCAAGTTTAGATTGTTCTTTTCCTGGGAAAATTTCTTATTCGCTGATCGTAATTTTGGTGTTTTTATGTTTATGATCACTGTTGCAATTTGCTTTATTTGATTAAGTTGGGATTTTTTTCTTTGTTTTGGTGACTTTGTTCTGAAGTTTATATATTTGTCATGTAGCTCTTTTACCTCTAACAACTGTGATTGCGATTCAATGCTTAGTGGGGCATTAGCAGATTCTTATTTGTGTTGTTATTCCTTTCATGGGGTTATGTATTTGTTTATACTTCCCAGCATTTTTCGTTTTTGCTTGGACATGTCGTGCTGATATTCATAATTGTAATTTTTATGCAATGCATCTTGAACACTGAGGTTTCTAGGATTTTTCAGTTACTTTTTGCAAGTCTTATTTATGTCCCTTAAAAGACTTGTCTGTTAATCTCTAGAATTAAATCTTCTTATCCTTGTTGCATTTATAACTTGCAAGTTCTGCATTGATTATAAAAGGCAATGATATTAGACGCAGTAGGAGAATCGACCTTTTTGATTTGTGCTTCGATCATCAATTGCAGAAGCATTTTGGCGGATAAAAATTCATGATAATCAAGAAGGTGGTGGTGGGGCTCATTTGGGTCCATACCCAGATCGCCCTGGTGAACCTGACTGCTTGTATTATTTAAGGACTGGATCATGTGGCTATGGAAGTAATTGTCGGTTCAATCATCCTGCTTATGCTGCACAGGTAATAAATGATTTCACAATAATGAAGTTCTTAGCTTGACACTAGCAATGCTGGTCATCATTAGCTTAGTCTTCTTTTTACATTAATTTTGTTGTCTGATTATGTTGCTATTCATGCACAGGGTGCTCAATATTATAGAGATGAACTGCCAGAAAGAGTTGGCCAACCTGACTGCGGGGTATATAATTCTTTCCTAGTTTAGATAGCAAGTTTTCTGTGATTTTGTAAGTCTGCAATTCCCGTTCTAACTCACTTTTTTAGTTCCGCGAGGGTAATGGTCAGAAGGTATTGTTTATTTCTCTCTTTGCTCCAAGTCACTGATAGGAAAAATGATTATTGTGTCCTATCTTTATAGTTAGGTTAATGTTATTTGGAAATTTGAGGGATTTAGTTGTTTAATACTATATCATTTATGGTAAAAGGAATACTAAGTGCAATTAAATGTGTGATTTGGATTGATGAGGTTTTTCCTAAAGTAGTAACGATTACCAGTATAGCTGCATTACGCTATTTTCGTAATAGTAGTTTACAAGAGAGGTTTTCGTTGGTAACTATAACGATATCATCCTAACAACAGTCCAATAATTATCTGTTCAAAATTATGAACTACCTTTATGCCTTGTCAAATTTCTTGAATGTTTAGAATTAAAGTTAGTTTGTCTTTCCTCTTCCCTTTATTTTCTTTTGTGCTCCAGCATACCCCCACCATGTCTTAGGGCAGTACCTCCTTTTAACCTTGTCTTTAACAAATCGTATGAAATCTTCTTCCATCTTTAGGAGATCCATTTGCATGCACATCATCATGATTTCCTTTCTAATCATCTATCTAGGTTGGTCAATTTATCCTGCATCTCATATGCCTAGCTTGGAGAGTTATCCAGGTTTCTTCAGTAGGTTTTCTGAGGAGTTGTTTGTGGATTATTTTATTAATGACCATTTAGATACCTTCTTTTTGGGCATTCTGATCAGGTAGTTATGCTTTTTTCTTGTAACTTACACTTTTTGCTACTAGTTTGCTAGGCTTTAATCTTAGAATCATTGTTTATGACATCACTTCTAATTTATGACGATTGGTCTTCCAATACACCCTGCAGTATTTTTTGAAGACAGGAACCTGCAAGTATGGACCAACATGTAAATATCACCACCCAAAGGACAGGAATGGTGCTGGACCAGTCTCATTCAACATTTTAGGTCTTCCAATGCGTCAGGTGCTTGATTTTTTTGACATCTGTCAGGTTATCTACATTATTGTAGTAGTTTTCTGCTTGTTTCTTTACATGAATGGTAGGTATAAGCAACACATATATACTGGATTGTGCCTTACCCAGGATGAAAGATCATGTCCTTATTACATGCGGACTGGATCATGTAAATTTGGAGTTGCATGCAAATTCAATCATCCACAACCTGCATCACTTGGAACTGGCATACCAGTAACTGGACCTGCTACCTACGGATCTGTTGGGCCAGCAATTTTACCTTCATCGGGTTTGCCTTATGTTGGTGGTTTTCCAACATGGTCATTACCAAGGGCACCATACATAACTGGTCCGCGGTTACAGGGTCCACCTGTTTACATGCCTGTTGTGGTTTCTCCTTCTCAGGGAATTTTACCTACACAAGGCTGGAATACTTATTTGGTAAGTAAATTGTTTCTTAAATTTATGAAAATATCTTATATCTGATGATGTGTGGGCAGTATAGGTTTTCTTTTGTTGCATTTGATCATTTTAAAGGTGGATGCGTAAATTGTATTTTCTTTCTGTACTAATGGTCTAATTTTTATCTTGATTTCTGTACTAATGGTTTGTCTTGCTTTGTCTCACTCTTTACTTCTACTCTGCCTAGCTAAAAGCCTAAAATTTAGATGCTTTTATTAATCAACATGCCTCCTCATTCAAATCAGCTTTTACCTGTGTTGTTCTTGTTTTTGTCTTGTTTGACTTTTTTCAGCTTACTATGTCTCAAAAATATTTCTGTCCTCGATTGCAGCATCATAGTACTTTGATTATAGAAACATGATTGTCCCAGAGTAACATTTATTATGGAACTTGGTGGGTGGCCACTGAAACAAGATTTTCATACTTATTGAGACAGTTAATCTGCATATGTATGATTATGACCAGGATAAAACCTTCATTCGCTTAGGAGAATGGCCTAATGTCTTCCCATTCAGATATTGTATAAGGACTACTCTGTTATCTCATGCTAAAGAATTATTCATATGCTTTATGGTGGCACCTTGTAGTTACTGTACAGAGTAATATACTTATTTAAGATCTTTAGAATACTTTTTGCGAGGCCTCTTTACAAATAAGTCCATGGTAAATTCGGCATTTTTTTTCCATAAATGACTTGGCAATCATGGGATGAATATTTGATTTCATATTTTTCTTTTTTTCTTCAGGGAAATGCTAATCCTTTATCTTCTACCAACATCATTGGAGCCAGTTTATACAATTCCAAAAATCAAGGTGACTCAAGTTCCAGCACACAGATGCACATGATGCCAACATTCAGTCCAAGTTTCCCTGAGAGACCTGATCAGCCAGAATGCCGGTATTATATGAATACTGGGACATGCAAGTATGGGTCTGATTGCAAGTTCCATCACCCAAAAGAAAGGATTGCACAATCGGCAATGAGTTCCATAGGTCCACTTGGGCTTCCATCCAGGCCTGTAAGGTTTTATCTATTTGGCTCAGATGCATATTCAACTTGACTTTAAAACCATCCTGCACAACATGCCTGAGTATATATGTGGAGAGAAAATTTTTTTTTCTCTTCTACTTCTTAGACACCAAATTTTAGTATGTAGACATGCTAGTGCAAGGGTGGTTTAAAATGTATTCATGGGAGTAGTCAAATGTAGAGTTTTGTGGACATTGGAGTAGAAGATCGTACAGTTGGTTAAATGAGGTTTCACTACCCGTTGTTTTATATAATTGCAATGAGCAAAATTCAGTAGTGTAGGTACTAGTCATATTTGTGGAGTTTTATGTTAGGGTTCTTAATCCTATTACAAGCCTTCTAGAGAAAACCAAAAAGAAAAACCAGTAGAATCAGTAGACTAAGGTTTGATTGATTTTGAAACTAGTTTATATTTTTCTTGTGATTCAGTTATCCGAGTGCCGTTCTTTTTGCAGGGACAAGCTGTGTGTACAAACTACATTATGTATGGACTTTGCAAGTTTGGCCCAACCTGCAGATTTGATCATCCTTTTGTGGGCTATTCTTACAATTATGGGTTGAGCCTGCATCCTCCCTCTGTTCTCGATTCATCTGTGTTAGCCTATCCAAGGACACCTCCAACAGCTCATTCATCTGAAACTTCTTCCATGTCGTCAAAGGTCCCTGATTGGACTAGGAGTCCTGATGGTAGCAACAAACATCAGAATTCAGAGGCAAAGAAGTCAATTAGTCCACCAGAACGGGCTGATTCACCACCAAGTTCCTTGCAGAGTTCTGCAGAACCATCCCATGAGCAGTCCGGTTAAACCACTCCTATTTAATGACTTTTAGTTTTTCTCTTGTTACCTGGTACCTTTTTGAGGAGATTTTATGTGTACCTTCTGGGCCCCCCTTTTCACCTGTGGTTCTGCAAAGTGGTATAGGTTGGTTTGGAAATTGCTGAGCAAATTAACTTTTGGGGGGGGGTCTGGATGGCATTTTTTGTGGTGAATAAAATGCAGGTGAAAAAATTTGTAACACTTATTTTCCCTTTTTATATTTTCTTTCACATATGATATCCATTTCTGCTGATGGGAATTTGATAGAATGCTCATGTTTTTGGTTGCTCTGTGGTTGGCCTGAAGGAAAAAAACAAAGCTGCCAATGATTGTGAGAGCTTGGCAGTGAGATAGTAGACAAGGAAACATATCATATGGCAAAATGCCAGATGACATTGGGCTGGTGGCTTATGACTAGGGAGATGCAATGGTTTGTGAGTCTTTTTATACTAGACTTCGTCTGACTCACTGCAGTATTTTTAGACGTGTTATTATCATATTTAAAACTAAATTTAGTTTCCGTATTTATTTATTTATTTATCTAAGTTCAAATAAGATTTATTTTTTAATTTGACTGAGTTATTATCAAACAACTTAGGCAAAACCTTTTTGAATGCATTAAATGGACAGAGAGCATTCTAAAACCGCTGAGGACGGTTATAGGACTATTTCTTGTCATCTCATTTTAACAAAATTTACTGAATTTTCACAGCAATTTTAAGACCAAAATGTCAACTGTATGTGGTACTTATATTTAAATTGTTAGGAAGAATACTTCCCTTATCTTTTTTTCCCCTCGTTTATGCAATTTTGAGAGCTGTGATCAGACACACTTCACAAGATTACAGTTTTGGGCATTATCTTGTTCGGAATTTGGTAAATGTTGAATTTCTTCATTTATACAATAAAACATTGTAGGAAAAATAAAGATGGTATGAGTGACAGCTTTCTTTAGTTAAAAATAACTTTTTTAATATGAGAAAGAACAGACAAAGTTAAGATGAGGAGGGATACTCCACTCACTAAATTTGAGTAATTTATATGGTTAGAATATTCTGTTTAGTTCATAATTATTTTTTAAATGGATTCTTTATCAAGAGTCTCCATAAAATATAATTTGTACGGTAGCTTTTAATATGATATATTGTGCTTTGTATTTTCTTCAGACTTCGGACACTGTTGGGTTAAATGGCAATTCTTCAAGAAAGTTGCTCTTTCTCTCCTAGCCCGTCCCATGAAAACATTGGCTCCTAAAGAATCTGTTAGATTACCACAAATTTTCTAAAACAATATATATAATCTGACCAAAAACTGAGGTTGTGCAATGAAATCTAACGAGTGAAGCATCTAAACTATGTTACATTACATAACTTACCTATCGTATCGTAAGAGACAACCAATTTGAAAATATGATAAGGGAATTATATTAGACAACCAATTTGAAAATATGATAAGGGAATTATATTAGACAACCAATTTGAAAATATGATGAGGGAATTATGTTACCTTGACATGTACTCGCAGTTAACTCAAAAGATATAAATAGAAGACAGAATGTTGAGCGGAAGAGAGAAAAAAAAAAAAAAAAAAGACTGTAAAGATGTGAGACAGAAGAACACCGAGAGAGAGAGTGAAAGAGAACAAGAGAGACTTGTGTGTGTGAAATACTTCTTCACATTACTAGCCATATTCGAATACAATGGCAGTTGCCTTTTCTGGGTGATCTTAACAGAAGCATGAAAACTCATACACAAAATTTCACCCAGGATGAAATAGCATCAGCAAAGAAGTGCCGCTTGGGTTAAGAGCTTCTTATTTGTAATCTCCTTTTCAGTTCACCAAGCAAGTTAGGACCCACGTGAGTAATGTCACCTGATCATTCAAAACAGTTGCAATGTTTAGGAGTTTTGGCACTAGAACTGTCATCTAAATGTTAACACAGGTTATTCATTAGTGAATACCTGCACCGAGGGTTAAAATAACAGTTTCACAATGAGGATCCTTGCATATTTGAATCACTAATTTATCAATAACTGACACCTGTAATTTCAAAGCAACATAAGGATTTCTTGAGCAAATCAATCAGCATTTATACATCCTTCAAGTAGCAAGCAAATCTAAAATTTACCCCTCGATTCCTATAAGAGGTAGCCTAAATTAAAACACGAGTCCATAAATAAGAAATTTTTACAAGTTTTTAGAGTAAAATCCAAATTCTCATGGCTCGTGGTAAAGCAGGAGCTTTTCATTGTATTTGATAATGTGGTGTTTCTGTCTGTCAATAGTTTCCATATTAATTCAGCAATTTGTATATTTGCTCTCTAAATAATCATAATAAAAAATCACAATTAAAGATGTGCAAAATATATTTTTGGATATCCAAGAAGGCATTTGGTATATTACCAGAGAAGGGATGTATTCAGATGGTGGGCCAATTATTGATGTGGCTAGATCCATTCCACTAACTCCCCACTTGTCTGTTTCTCTGGCTGCATAGACCTGACAATAAAAGTCATAACATCACTATGAACAACCTATCAAAAATGCGACGATGACAGAGGGAATAAATTGCACCTTGGTAACAACAACTTGATCTGCACTGCTGAGTGCAGTTGCAAAATCATCCTTTAAGGCTGCTAGGCGACTGCTCAACAAAAGGCACCGAACAAGGTCTGACATTAAAACCTAATGATGATAGAAATATTGTTTTGGAAGGAAATAGAAGCACATTTCCACTTTTATCTGAGAGAACAACCTGTAAGTATGAGGCTGGAATACCACAAGAAGAACCATCTGTGGAAATTTCTGTCTTGCTGCCTGGAGAACAGCATGAACTTCTGTTGGATGGTGTGCATAATCATCATATATATGACACCCATGTATTTTGCCAATCATCTCAAACCGTCTAGAGATGCCTATGAAATTGTGCAAGTGTGACTTCACAAAATGAACTGATTCGTGAATATTTCTTTGATCACCATACAATAAACTCACTGTGGCAATGACCTACATCATGAACAATACAATACTCAGTAACATGGAACTAAAAGAAAAGGAGTAATTCATAGTATGAAAATTTTCCGCAAGGGGAGCAATGACTGAAGGAACAACAAAAGAGAATCGTATTGAAATACATATGTAATACCCAGATCCAAAATTTGGCTCGATATTAATTTTAAAAAAATATAAAAATAAAAATGAATATATATAAATATAATTTTTAAATTTATAAATTTTTATTTAATATAAAATTAGAAAAACAATAGGTGGAGAATGAAATTGAAAATAATTTTGAGAAAAAAATGTAAAAATTTGGGTTCGGATAATATTTTTAAAAGAAAAATCGGAAATTATAAATCAAAATACAATTAAGAAAAATTGCGACATGTACGACCGTGCAGTCAGCAGCTTCGACGAACTGGAGCGCACCGCGTAGTAAAGCACGCTGACTCGATGCCACGCGGGAAGCCACGCTGGCAATCCGCATGCCTGCGATCGGACGGTTCAGGTACGTTCCCACGCGCATGGACAGTCTAGATCCGTTCCCTCTTCAGACGCGATTGGACGGTCATGATTAAACGTGATGAACAGCCCAAATTCATTATCTCTTTAAACGCGATCGTACGGTCCCGATCAAATCGCGATGAACGGTTCAAATTCATTTTCTCTTTAAACGCGATCGAACAGTCGAGATTAAACACGATGAATGGCTCAGATTTAAGGAAGACGGGTATAAATATATCACTTCGCATTGAACCTTAACCATAGCCACCAGTTCCCCGCCGGAGAAGAAGAACTAGTCATTGAAGAAGAGAACCGACCTCCACCCGCCGCCAGCGCCGGAGCTATCTCCGACCGCTAAGAAAAGTAAAAAAATTTATATTCGCTTGGAATTTGATGTTGAACATCTTCATGGCCAAATTGGAGTAAAAGGAATAGCGGATAAGTCGAAAACCGCGAGAAAAGCCTGGCGGCGCTGCTGCGGAAAAAATAAAAAATCGCCTTCGATGAACCCCTTTCCGATTCCCGTTTCGTGCGATTTTTCTACCATTGTGTTCACTATTCTGTTTTTTACAGGTTGACCGAAGAAAAATGTTCGGCCGCGAAGGTGAGCCGGCGAAATCGCTGCACCGGAAAATTTCGCCGCCAGTAAGTTTTTGTTTTTCGACTTTTTTGGGCCAACTGAGATCTCTTAACGTGTTTTCTCGCAGGGATGTGTATAAAACCGGCAGAAACTGGCCAAAACTGGCCGAAAACGGCCAGTCCGATGCAAACTGCCGCCGCGAGCAGCGGTGCCACCGTGTCGGAATTCCGAAATTAACTGGAAAAAGTTTTTAACACCAATTTTGGATTTTTTGAGGTATTTTTAGGTATGTGAAGCGTATTTTAATTTCTGCAGGAAAATTCAGGAAACCCGAAGACTGCCAGTAAGCGTAGTAGAAAGTTAAGTGTTTCGGACACCAATTCAGGTAAAAATCCCTCACCTTATTCGCTATTATGAAATTGAAGTCTAATTATCAATAATATGATATTTTGATAACTTTAGAAAAATTCGATAATTAATTACAGATTACTAATGGAGTTGGAATCGGTTATTTATTACTGTTTATTCTGTTTTAATTGATTGTTTGATTTTATAGTTTTAAATACATGATAATACACTGAAAATGGATAAGATTACTTGTGTTTTCTTAATGCATGTAATGTTTGTCTTGCATGATTTACAGTTAAATTGTCAAACTGAAAATTAAATATAAATGAAAAATTAATTGGTTAAGTAAATGAATGAATGATAGTCTTATTGGATATCCTGAAAGATGATAGACAGAACGGGTGCTTAGAAAACCCTGCCGTGAACATCTCCTTATACCGAACAGGGTATCGAGAATTGGTATTTTTGCCGCTCATACTAGACGGGATATGGGGACAACCTGTTTTACCCTCATACCGGACGGGGTATTGAGTGATGGTATTTTTGGTGCTCATACTGGATGGGGTATGGGGACGGTTGGTAGTTTTAATATGGGTTCATGCGTAGCAGGACATCCCTGTGAACCCCATAGATACCAGTAGGCAAATAAAAATGAAAAATTGTTATACTTACTTGAATATAAGATTATGATATCGTTGAACTATTATCTCTATAGGTCAGTTTTGAAAATCTCACAAACGATAAATATGTAATAAATAGTTTTACTTATAATAAATGAATTTACTTAAATTAAAAGTTCAATTAATTGTTTTTATGATTTTTAACAACCTTCATTTTTATATCGGTAAATAGTGTGATATTCTCACTGGGCTAGTGTAGTTCACCATTTCATTAATCATTTCAGAACAAAATGACCAAAATTCATATCTTTATCATCAACAAGGGAGTTGTGAATAATTCACCACCAGAACTCCCTTCAAAGGTTAGTGAAGATCGTTTTACAATACCTAATTGTTTACTTTTCATTTATTTCTTGATTTTTTTACTTGTTCTTTTAGAATGGTCATTTCTGTATCCCTATTGGGTATTCTAAATTATTATGTAAGAAATGAAAACTCTAACTCTATTATTTTGCTTCCGCATTCAATTTATAATTTATTTTCTTTTAAGTTCCGGGTCGTTATAACATAACAGCGATAACTCACTTTAGTGATATATGTGCAATGTATTAATATACTTCCTTCTTGTGTGTTTGTGTTAAACTATAAATAATAACTTTTAGTACTAGGGAAAAGGGGAAATTAATCATGTTATGAAAAAAGCTTATATATAAACATAATTCGCATATATAAAGAAGCAGAACTTTCTAAAAGATAAATAAATTTTGATCTCACTGCTAATGAATTGAGGACATTATGAACTCCCGGAATCTGTAGACTGATGTTTGCTAATGGAAGACCTCTATGACACTGCAGATAATCAAGAATTTGTTAGGCAGCCACTTTCAGGAAAATGTATGGAAAGAAAAATCTAATTCTTAAGTGTTTGTAAATTTTAAAAGGGGGTCACAAAAGCAGAAACCTAAAAAACATGCTTACTGCATTATAGTTTTCAGACAAAAATAATAATTACCATTATCCATACCTAAGAATATAGGAACCTCTTTTTTTAATAAATTAATAGGAACAATTTTATTGCTCCTATAAAAATCTGCAGATATTATAATGATTCAGCATTTAAAAAGTGTCTACATAAGTAGTAAACTTCAATCAAGAAAATCTCTCATTTTCATCAAAAGAGTAGAAATATAATAAGATTACAAACAATTTTACAATTCTGTTATAGTATTGTTCTTTTCTTTCCAAAAACATAGAATGCATTTTGCCATTCACCTATACTTTCTACTACTAAGATACCACAAAAGATATTGAAAAATAACACTTACCACCATATAATCATTGCCACCTTGTGAGTTTAAACAAATTGATGATGCATGCCATTCGTTAGTATTTGATATTCCATATGTTGTTATTCTGTAGCCACCACTACATGGACCCGAAACAGACACCGTACTACATGAATCCTCTGATTTAGTTTCTCTTTTTATGTGATCCAAGAAGGAATATGCACCTAAACTGTAGTATCTTCCAACAAAGTTCTCCAATTAGAATTCTTTAAAAGTTTTAATGAATTGCAGAACCCTGAACAAAATTGAAGAGTATGCAAGTAAACTTTTGAAGAATGGCACAAGAAATGTGTTTTGATGTACTGCAAGTGGAGTTAACACAGCTTATGTCATTAAAACTAAGAAACAAGAGAAATGAGTACTGAATCCATCAATATGACTAATCAAAAAGGATTTTATAGATATAAAATATAATCATGATTGTCAAACCAAAGAGTGCGCATTGCTATTTATCTAAAAGTGCCACTTGACATGATTCTTTAGATTACAACTAATTCAGAGATTTTAAGTACATTACATTTTAATTACAAGAAAATGATGTAGACAGTATTCCTTTACCTGTCTCCGCATACAATGAGATGTCCATGATTGCTGATTTGTTTCAAGAATCTTCTGAAAACCTTTTTAACTGCTTCCTAATTGACATGGAAGTATAATCAAATAATCTTGTCCCACTAACATCGAGTAAGCAATAGAGAATCATGGCTTTGATGATTATCTTACAACCTCATCTGGAAAGATATCCACGTGCTCCCATTCCAGATTTGTTACAACAGCAATGTAAGGTGATAATCCCAGGAAGCAACCATCATATTCATCAGCCTTTGTGAAAATATGTAGAATTAACAACATTAAGATACAACCCTTTCGAAATAAAACTGAAGAACAAGTAGAGGAAGCACAAAAAAGAAACAATCAATCAGATTAGAAGAATGGTGATATTTTCGACATCATAAATCCAAAAAAGAATGCTTAGTTATCAGCAGAAGAAGAAATTGGACTTCCTGGCTAAAGTTTCAAGGCAGATTACATTAAGGCCTAAGTTGATAATCACAAAGCACAAGCCCATATTCATTTTCATATGTATGATAAAACATCCACCAAAGTACACAACAAAAATAAAAATATCAAATATCAATTGAAGGCATACCTCAAGCACAAAGTTTTTCCCACCACCTAGCATTATATTTCCTCCAGGAAACTGCAAGACAATGGCTTGAATCATAATAACTTTTGTTGATAAACTCTATTTTATTATTTATTCACTTCAACTCTATCCTATTGTTATTAGTATTATTATTATTTGAGGAACTCTATCTCATTATTTCAATAACAGAAAAAATGCTAAATGTTAAAAAGTAAGTAGATTTGGCAATAAACATCTCAATACAGAATTCGAAACAGAAAATTATCATAGACAAGCAGACGAGAGGGTACAATGAGAAGTACAACGTTCATCCGTACCAGCACTGAGAGGGTTGGGAAGGTATGATGATACCTGTTTTACCTGTGCTCCAACTACAGCTGTAATATCATCCCCCATTCTGTTTAAAACATAAGCAAGCATACCAGCTGTTGTACTCTTCCCTGCAGGAATAATGATAAAATTTCCACCATAAGAAGAATGTTGAAGAACATGACATCTATCTTTGTTGTAGAAGCTATTACGACCATATCAATTAGAATAATAAATTGAACGACAGAAAATTTTATTGCTGATGGCATTACATTTATGAGCAATTAAGCATCACTTCCACCAATTTAAAACACATAACTAAACCTGAAAGAATGACAATCAACAAATTTTGGTTGACCGTGTGGCCTAAGCAAGTAAGCTTGAAAATTTATGAAACAAAAGGGGCTATAACTTATAAGTTACTAATATTACCATGGGTTCCAGCTATGGCAATGAGATTGTAGTTCTCCGTTAGTCTTGTTAGCCAGTAATCTCGCTTGTATCTGCAACCATAGCAACCAAAAAAGCATCAACTACCCTAATAATTCATCATGACTGATATCATATGCCAACCAGGGGCATCAAACCCTTGGCTTACATAAGCAGTTCCAATTGCGATGCTAGCTTTAGGTTTGATAGAATTCCATAGTACATTCAAGCTTCTAAGATGATAAACAAAATCATGAAAATTATAGCCAACCAGTTGATTACTCACACAGGTATACCGAGAAATTTGGCATGACTAATCTCCACATTATCTTGTGGAATAGCACTTGAAACAACAATAGCCTTCGGCAACCGAGATCCCTTGCCTCCGTGAATATTTGAAACAGAATGACCAACATGCAAAAGAGCCCCAGCTTCCTGCAGTCCATCCATGTAGCTGCTCCAAGCTATATCAGATCCACTAACCTCAAAACCCTAATACAGACGTGAGAACTGAAATATTAATTTGTAATCTGGTGTAACTCTTGGTTAGAACACTAAAAAGAACACCGCTCCCTGAATAAATTCCAGAAGAAAAAAAGAAAAAAAAAAAAAAGAGAGGAAAACTTCGTAACAATTAGAAATCCTTTACGGGAGTGTTAACAAATCAAAAGAAACAGAAATCCGAAGACCAGAAGTAATGTCATGGTACTCCAGTTTTCCGTCACGTCTCTCCATTTTCTCGCAGCCAAATGGAAAGTTGAGTCCAGTGTTACACACAAAAGCTAACCTGTTTGAGAGCAAGCATGGCGAGAGCAGACAAGCCACAGCCTCCAATGCCGACGAAGTGAATCCATCCCTTGTTATCTCTCAAATCGACAAAGCAATCTTTGTGATCTCTTGGATTCGCAAATGGTTTCGTAAGTAACACACGATCGTTGTCCTTGAACGTGGCAACGGAGTTACCTTTTCGATCCCTCGTAAACTGAAGAGGAGGTAGACTGTGAAGAATGGAGAAGTAGGTTTCAGGTTCTGGTTTGGCGCGGAATTGCGCCGGGAAGAGAATCAAATTAGCCGCCGACATAGCCATGAAGTTCCCGGGAACCCAGATTCATAGTTGGTAACCAGTATTTGGACTCTGGGCTTAAAAAAGGCTTGTCTTGTACACTTGAGCCTGTTACGCTCGTTTCTTTTAGTGGATAAAAGAGAAAGAAAGAAACGAACTATATACTCAGTACTAATAAGTAAATTCAAAATGAGGAAAATGAGTATATAAATTTCCAACAGAAAATTATAATGAAACTGAATTAATTGGACCGACTAAATATAGTTTGGTTCAAAGATGGGAGAACCCAAAATCTCAAATCAATTCGTTTTTATCCAACTTAATCCCAAGTTATAAATTACTATTTAATAAGTTATTTCTTTTTATTAATTTTACTATTTGTGAGTTTAATAAATAATAATTATTATTTTTTAACTGAACATTATATTTTAAAAAATTAATCTAACTCGATTCTAACTAAACCAAATTGGACCAACCAATTTGGTCCAATCTCTTATTAGTATGTCTTCTTTAACTTGGTCAATTAAATCATGTTTAATTCTGAATGTTAAAAGAAAATAAAAATTATCATCATCACTATACCAAAAGGCCTTTTTGATCTGCTGCCTAAGCACACTGTTTAATTTAACTTGCAAATTTGTTTTGAGTACATAAATCATTTGTCAGATAATTTAAATAATTTTAATAAAAAAATCAAAAACAACTAGTGTAAGTAATATTAGATATGAAATACAATAAAAATTTTATATGTAAAATAATACAAGAAACAATGTATATTATTTATATCTTTAAATGTGATGCTTGTTACTCAATAGGACGAATAAAGAGCATCCCGCATGCTTTTCGTACTCTCCCATTATTTGATGTGTGCATAATTGAAATGAATTTAAAAATTAGTTCAAACTAAATGGGTTAAAGAGATCGGTTTGGTCAAGTTAATTTTTTGTCTAATCGAGTAGCGAATTGAGTAACTGATTCTATAATTAATTCAAAATTTGAAAATCAAAACCAACCAAATAATAATATTTTTCTATTTTTTATACCTTATAATATTATATTTTTACATATATATTAATATAATTATATATTTAAAATTAAAACAAGATCTTTGCCTAATTCTTAATATCTTAAAACACAAGCCACATCCTCTAAACTCGAGCTCCCTGCGAAAAATGAAGTCGACCAACAAGCAACAACAACTTATCTCCACGGTTCCACTTGCAGCCTATTCTCTGTGACTCCAGCTTTGTCCCCACTTACTTGCAGGCATAATTTATAAATACGACTCGGAGTTCTAAATTTATTAAAATTTGTTATGAACAATCCCTATTAACATTTGTATAGAAAATCATTATGAACTTATTTAATTTTTATTATCAACAAAAATATTTATTAAAAAAAATATATATTATAAAATATTTTCGATGTACATTATAAGTAATAATATTAATAAACGATTAATATTATAAACTTAACTAAATGGAAATTTTCTGAAAATTGTATCAAATAAAACAGTTAACCAATAGAGTCGATAATTTATGTTGACGAAAAATAATGTTACTTAACAAAATTTATCATCTTTTAAAAAAATAAAAATAAAAATAAGAATATAAATTGCTAACGTAAGATTGATGATTATTAGAAAAAAATTAAAGCAAAGCGCTGCGTTTTGACCCACGAAAAATCAATGTTGTGGCCCTCAAGTTATTCCACCTCCTTCCCTGGGGTCCACATCCAGTCAACCGCTTGACTCATTGATTATTTCTACCACACGTTTCATTATTATATATATTTTTTCTTTATGCTAAAATATATATTGTATAAAATTACTTTTTAAGATAATAAATTATTTAAATTGATCTATATTTTATGACTAATAATATTACATCATCAATTTTAAATTTAATTTATTATTATATTAATGTTGAACCATTAACTATATTGTAAATTATCTCCCAAAAAAAAAAACATTAAATGTATTGCAAATAATTTGACATAACTAACCAATCTCATTCCACCACAGCTTTTTTTTTTTTCTTCTATAATAACTTACTTTTCAAATAATTATTATAAAAATATTGTTAGATTAATTTTTTTTTTTATGTCGAGATTAAATTATTTTTAATTCAGTCAAAAATAAATCATCCACCATGCGAGTATTAGAACCAGGAAGAAAAATCTTTACAATCTCAGGCTGAAAAATTCAAACCATATGCGTAATCTACAAACTGACATTTACTTATTAAAGTTAAAGAAAAATTAAGTACATAAAAATTTAGATATTATCTTACACTATAATTTATATATTTTTAAAAAATTATTTAGATGTTATTATAATTTGAATTTTAAAAGTATATTATTACGTCAAATATTTGTAATAAGAAAGTCCTCTTGTTGGAAACCCAACGTGGCCGGTTGGGTGCGTCGGGCATCTTTTCTTTACAAGTTGTTTTTGGCGTTTTCCTCTTTGTTTCTTCTTCAAATCTAAATCTTCACTCTCCTTCATAAATCTAATGTACTAATTAATATTCAAGCATATGAAATCAAATAATTTTTTGTTATTATCAGTAAAATATTTTGTTGATCTTATTCTTTATTTCATTTAATAAAAGTCTCTACATTTTTCTTTTTTTATTTTTCAAAATAAAATCTCAAAAATATATATATAAAATATTATTAATTAATTCTTTTTTTAAATATATCCGTATAATATTTCGTGATAAGAGCGGATTCATACATAAATAATTAATTTTGTGTCCTTTTTTTATTTTAAAAATCACAAAAATTAATATAGTTCACAATGAAATGTGTGATCAAATGAATTAAATTTTTTATACATAACAATTTAAAAATAAATTTCGTAAATATATCAAACTAATTTCAAAAAATAAGTTAAAATCTTTAGAACCAATAAATTCGAAACTCATTTTAACTAGTTAGTACTTTTAATTACTAGGTATTTTAGTTAATATATTTGAAATAACAAGTAAACTTTTATCATAAATTTTTTATATAATGCTCAATACTTGATTATTTGAAATGTAAAAATTAAAAAATAATCTACACATTAATAAATTTAACTTATAATTTTCATATTTCAAATAATGAACTATAAGAATTTAATGGGTACTACATTAAATTTGTGATGTCTTCTTACGTTCTTGTGCTGCTAGAATACTCAATAATTTTGTGATTAACATAAGTTGGCAAATCAGAAATTATCTAACATCAAGGATTGTGATGAAGAATATTAATAATGGATCTTTCAAATCCAATGCACATTTACTTACACGAGGAAGAGTTCGGCACGTCTTCAAGGAATTAACTATGTATTTTGGTTTTATTTATTCTATTCTCTATCTATTGACTTACATAATTGAGTTCAAAATATGCTTGTTTTAGGCATTTAATTGATTCCAAACAAGCATATATATATATATATATATATATATATATATATACACACACACACATATACGTATAAGCTAAATATGTAGGCTTGGATATTTTTGCCAATTTGTCGTTATTACTTTTCCCACTATAATCAATCTCCTCGAATTTTTCGTTTTCTTAGCTTGCTTGGTATATAAAAGTATTATTTTTAAATTTTTTTTTTTAAATTACATCTAGCATGGTTGATCGGTAGTTGAAATTTAAAATAATTTACCAATTGTCCAAATGTAATTAATTGATTAAACACAAAATTAGTCAAAAATTAATGAAATGTTAAGTATTGTAGTGAATCTTAAGTATGCATTAATCTGCTCAATTTCAATGTTTGATAAGTTGAGATTGTTTAACAAATTAGCTTGGGACACACACACACATATATATATATATATTTGTGTATGTGTGTGTATTGTATTACTGTGTGGGATGAGCAATCAATATCAACTTATGCTGTGTCCAAGGAAGATGGAACGCCCTTGTCTCTCCAATTTTACATTTTATTATGACTAAACATCCTTCAACACTAAGAATGTTGTTGTACTTTGCAAACACATATTACTTATGTATTTATATACTATGATAATTATTAGGCAAATAATTGATTTTTTAATTTAAAAAAATATTAGATATTTGGTATATATGTAACACCTGGGCCTAGAAATTTGGTTCGGGATAATTTTACAATTAATAAAATTATATATTTAAATAATGATGTTATTTTATTCTAATTTTGTTGAATTTTTGAAAAAAATAAAATTAAAGACGAAATTAAAAATAATTATGAAAAAAATGGGTGAAATTGTGAATAAGATGTATATTTTTGAAAGAAAATTTAAAAACATGAGCTAAAATCGTAAAAAAAAAAAAATACGACCATGTGGGACGGCCATGTCAGCAGCCACGGCGAGTCAGAATGCGTCGCGTTGTGGACACGCTGACATCGGCTCCACGTAGGAGGCCATGCGGGCGATCTGCGTGCCTGGACGATCTAACGGTCCAGATCGCATCCCGAGTGCATGAACGGTCCAAATCTGTTTTTTATTTAGACACAACCGAGCGGATGAGATTGATTGTGATGGATGACTCTAATTCGCACATGTGATCGGCCTAAACAGGCAATGATCAGACGATTTTTCTCGCTCTACGTTGACTCGAACGGACGATCTAGATCGAATGGAGATGAGTATTTGAACTCCTCATCGCAGGGAACCAAAACCCTAGCTGACATAGGAGTGACTGGAGAAGAAGAAGCAGGACGACAGGGAAAAGAACCAAATGCTGGAGAAGGAGACCGACTACTGGCGTCGCCGCACCAGAGCAACCACCGATGCTGAACATGTGTTTTTTCCCTCTTCTCGTTCAGAATTTAATCTTAAATCTTCCTATGCCCATATTAGTGCCGAAAGGCTGACAGATGAGCCAGAAAATATGAGCGAAGCTCGACCGAGCCGCCGTGGCTGAAATCCAAACTCTGATGACCCGCTTCCCATTTCATATTTTTTTTACCATTGTATTCTCCGTCTTTTTCTAGTGCAAGTTAGCCAAAGAAGAACCTCAGTCGCGAAGGAGGAACGGCAGAGCAGCCCACCCGAAGACCCTCTCACCGATAGGGTTTCAATTTTTGCCTTTTATGACCAACAAAGGCCCCTTAACTTCGTTTT